CCTACCCTACCTCCTCTCTCTCTCCTCCTCTCTCTCTCTCTCTCTCTCTCACCTTGCTTCTTACCATTCTCCCTCTAAGCCACATACCCTTTCTCTCCTACATGTGCAGGGAGAGAGAGAGTGCCCAAGAAGAGTACAATTCTTAGTTCGTCGACACGACCAGGGTATGGAACTGGACCTTTGGAGTCCGGTCAACCTTTGGACCCGAATGAGTTTAGGCTAACCCAGGACACTGCCAAGTCAGATCGAACTCGATTCATGTATATGTCTATTCCTCTCATCATCGTCATCATCATCAAAACTGTTTTCTAACTAATTAGAATCGACTACACGAATCATGAATTGTCATTCTACTTTATTTAGGGCCAAATGAAGTCAAATTAAGAACCAATTTAAATAAAATTAAACATTTACCTAACATGAGGGGGATTTCTTTGTCAGGCTTGGGGAAGGGGTAACCGGATTGGCCTATTCTTGGGCGTATAATGAGGGCCCCATAGACCGTGGCTCTAAGCCAAGAGACGTGTGCGTGCCACCACAAAGTGCCCTCTTGATCCACAAGCGCAAATTTGTAAGTGAAAGAAGCTCCGGGTTTGATAGGGCATTGAGTCACGTAGCTTGGCCCATCGTACCATGGCGTCCCACGTTGAAATACACCATGCCTTCATCACATCAGTGCCAAAAAACCAAAAAAACAAAAAAAACCATTAGATTTAGTCTCTCTCTAAAAATCATTATAATTAATTACTCTCTCTCTAAAAAATTATAATTAATTACTCTCTTTCACTCTCTACCGTCCCTAGAATATCATTTAGATACTCTCTCTCTCTCCCTAAACATCATTAGAATCTCTCTCTCTCTCTAAACTTCCATTAGGATTACAATCTCCATGCTTGAAATACAAGCTCTTTCATGACTAGAAAAACAATACCTGCCTATCTCTCCCTCTATCTCTCTCATCATTAGAACTACTCTCTCTCTCTCTAAAAATCATTAAGTTACAATCTCTTTATCGTTGGAAATACAATATCTTGTCATAACTACAAATAATTAGAAATGCAATATCGCTTTCATAACTAGAAATACAATATGTCTCTATAATACTCTATCTGTCATCACTAGAAATACTCTCTGTCTCTAAAAATCATTAGGTTACGATCTCTTTCTCATTAGGAATACAATCTATCTCTCAAAACTAGAACTACAATCAATCTCTCTCTCTCTCTCTCTGACACACACACCAATAATTGATGTTATAAACAAACGTATGATTGCTTCTCTCATTTTAAGTCTACAAATGAATGATCTTATTATATAGCCTCTATCTCTATCATACACATTGTTCATTTTCTGTCTCTCTAAAATCATAAGGTTGGATATAAACTTACCAGTGAATTGTGATGTTGTAGGGTGAGTCGTTGATTACGTGAACGATGAGCGTGTCACCTTCGCGAACACGGATGGTTGGTCCGGGGAATCGGTCATTCACAGCCACTACAACTCGCTTTTTGCACAGGGGACTCACTGATAGGTTGCCCACCTAAATAACAATTATAAAACACATCATTAGACAAAAGAAGATCTCCTTAACAAGAGTGAAAGAGAGAGTTAGAGAGAGAGAGAGCAGACCTTGAACGTATGCTCAACGATGCTGCATGAGGCTGTGTAGGCAAGCAACGCCAGAGTGCAAATGATAAGAACACTGACTCTTGCCATTGAACTTGTTGGTGAGTGAGAAAGAAGACGTTATAAACCAGGTAAAAAATAACCAATAAACTCAAACTTCTTCTCCTTCTCTCTTTCACTCTCTTCTCTTTCTCCTATCTTTCTCTCTCTAGACTTTATCTCTTCTCTTTCTCCTATGTTTCTCTCTCTACACTTTTATCTTTCTCCTTTTGAAAATGAGGGAAGGAGGAACCCTTTTCGATTGGCTCTAAGAAGCCATGGGAATGGTTTCCTATATATATATAGGCTTCATGTTGCGTGATGAAATAGACATAAGCTCAAGGCCTGCTTCTAAATTCAACGCGTTAGGGGAGCCTTCGTTATCTATTTCATCAAACTTAGAGCAATTAATTCTAAATTATACACATGACCCAAGTTCATAATCAAATATTTTAACCACATTTCCGCCCTCGTGACAATTTTTCTACGAGGAAGTTCATCTCATGTGATTCACATACGTGTCCGAGAATGCTTATATTATGTTGTTAGGACCTTATCTTTTGGAAATTTGACAATTGGGGGTCTCAATTCCTCTTTGATTAGGGAGTTGGATGGGCCATAATATTTCACTAATGACCTTCAAGGTCAATCAAAATTCATGTTTTAGAACCTGGATTGATCACCTAAAATCCGTAACAGTCTGGATCAGTCTGATTCTAAATTGGTGATCCAAAAAACTATTAAAAATAAAATAAAATAAAAATAAAAATGGGAGCTTATGTGGAGGGGATTAAAATGGATCTAAAAAAAATATTAGATAAGATTAAAAAAAAAAAAATTAAATGGAAGTTCTAGGGGGTAACTAGGTTGGGACCAAAACCAATTCGGTCTTGAATGATTCCCATTCAAATCGGCAATCCAGACCGAAAATCTTCGGGTTTCAAAACACTTACCAAAATAGACATCGTAGAGAAGAAAATGATAATCGTCTGGTCTCAAAACACTTATCATAATAGACATTGTATTTCTAGAAGAAAATGATTGAGGGATTAAGCGATGTGTGGCTCATTGTCTGAGGGACAAAATGGTCATTGTGCCTATGACATTTGAAAAAAAAGAGCCTGCATCATGCTCCTGCGGGAGTATGCTGTATAATTACTCCCTATAGCAAAATATCTAATTCAGATATTTCTTGATTCAAAACTTTATGACCCATATAAGCATCACCATATGATTATCTTAAAAAAAGAAATTTTGATTGTGTTTTCCATCCCTTAGATCTTGCCCTCACAAAAAAAAAATTTGGACGGTCTATGTTCCATCTCAAAACATTATTCTTTTCAACATATAGAGGTACAACTTGTATTTTTTTTTTTTTTTTTTTTTTTTTTGTTCGTTTCAATCAGGTTAGCCATTAGGTTTAGGAGGTTACATCCCTGTAGCTTGGAGTCCGAAAACTAGGTTGGATTTTGCCCGAGGGAGGAGTAAATCGACAGTGTGCTCCAGTGGGAGCTCAAATCTTTTCACACAATGCTGGTTGTAATAACCCTCACACATGTTCCTTTTTTTTTTTCATTTTTGTTTTTTTTTTATTTTTTTTGTGCTGTATTCAAGGTTTGGAATGTAGGTGAAGATTGGGGAATGTTGTTATCTTGGTGATACGTGGCAGTTGCTTGGATTCCATCTCGGAATTTATCTTTTTTGGAAGACCAAATTTTGGAGATTCATATAAAAAGAAGTTTGAAGTTTGAAACCAAGAATGGCTGCAATCATTTTCCTTTCTTGATAAAGTGAGGGTATTTTGGTCATTTTCTCTATATAGGAACTAGTTTTGGAAAAGTCTTTTTTGATCCTTCCTTAATCAAGTGAGGTTATTTTTGTCATCTTCCAAGTGAGAGCTAGTTTGTGAACCGTTCTCTTTCCTTCTTGGTGTTTCCCTCTTGGATCTAAAATAATATATAATAATATACTACTTGGTGTGCTGGCGGTCCACCTTATTGGCTCTTGCTTTCATAATGTGCAGACTAACAGCCCAAGTTAGCTCAACACGGCTATAATGAGATACTCCAATAGTTCAAGCAAACACTTCTTTGTTGACCCTTTAAAACTTATGAGTTGAAACAAGAAAAGAAATGGAAGAAATAATTAAAAAATTAAAAATTAAAAAATTAAAAAAGAAGAAGAAAAAAAATATGATTGTAACCTTATAGTTGAGATTTCTGATCAATCTCATCACGTTATTTTCATATTACTAGTAATCATAGATTATCTCTCTCTCTCTCTCTCTCTTTCTCTCTCTCTCTCTCGCTCTCTCTCTCTCTAACCCTATGAAAAGGTCAAATCCTCTCCCCTCTCAAACTTGGTGAAATGGTCAACCCCTTTCCCCTCCCTCTCTCACTCTCTTCCCCCTCTCTCTCTCTTTCCATCTTCTCTCTCTCTAATTCTCTCCTATTCATTATTTATTTAACATGTGAAAATGTAAATCAAATAATGGGGTTTGGCTTTGCTAGGCTAAGCTCATGAAATAAATAGAAAATCAAAGTTTAGGATTGGGTTTCCAAGGATAACTATTAGCTAACTTAATAAGCAATTTAAGTAGCCCACATTCTTTTCTTTAATTCTTTTTATTCTTCTTGTTTACCTCCTTTTGCTTTTTCTCAATTTCATGTTTGCAATTAAATAGAAATGCAAGAAATAAAAAATAAGAAGCAATATATAAAAAGACCAAGTATGAGTTGGGCAATGCTTCTTCTAATTAAAGCTAACCTTAACTACCACGGTGTGAGGGTATAGGACCTCTTCTAGTTGATCCATTTGTTAAAAATTAAGCACTCGTTCGTTACATTATAAAATTGAAAACATATAGCCTCCAGTTGCCCTGTCAATACCTACTTAAGATCTTAAAGTACTGTTTTAGTTGACAATTTGCAGGCTTAGTTGGTCTGTCCATTGTGGTTAGTAGGGTTTAGAGACCATAAAACACTCATTAATTTTTGTCTTCTTTTTAAACTAAAAACACTTTTTATTTTATTTTCTTTCTATGGGCTACTAAAATTGATTTGCATGGGGGAGAAGTTTGAATGTTTGGCCTCTCACACACAAATTGGCTGTCACATAATAAGGGTTAAGGGAACATAAATACACATTTAATTAGGAGCACTTAATCATTTACATCTAGGTAAGGTTTTGTGTGTTAGTCGGATCCATTGGGAAAGGGGTTAAGGTTGTGGTGGTAGCACACCCCATACCTTAGTTATATTTTGTGGCTTCTATTTCTATTGACAGGTTCAAAAACTACTAACTAATTAAAAAATAAGAAGGGACCTACCTTCATCACTTAATTACCCAAAAAATAAAAAGTCGGATCCATCTTAGAGATGGATTTTGGATCCAAAATTTTAGCAGTTGATAATCTCAACCACGACTATTATGAATGTAGATTAATAATTAAATTTAAAATTTAAAATAGTATTCTTAAAAAAAAATTGCACCATTTATTTTAATTTTTTACACATTATCATCAAATCTGAACTATTTTTTTGAGCTGCAGAAAAGATGGATCTATGCTAGAATTGTATTTCTACTGATTTAAGATATATTTGACGTCCTAAATTCATGAAAAATCTAGGTGAACTCGCGATTTGGGCACTCACGGTAGACTTTTTCCTTACTTTTTATTTTTATTATTATTAAAATTATTTTTTCTATTTTTTTTGTAAGGGCAGGTAATGACCTTTCCTTTACTTCTTTTTTTCCATTTTTTTTTATAAAATTATTTTCTCTATTTTCTTTCTACGGGCAGGTACACTTGGTTTGCATGGGGGAGGAGTTTCACCTTCATTTATTGCATTTTTTTCTTCTCATTAAAGAAAGTATGTGTCATTATCCATGGTTCGTTAGCGTTTGGCTCTCTACTCCCTTGGTTGTTGACCCATTCTTTAATACTTTTTGGCACATTGAGTGTTAAATCTTAGTTTTGATTTGTCCTCATCCATTCCTTGCATCACAAATTGGGCATATTTTCTTCCATAGGGTGGTGACAAGTGCAACTTTGTCACCAATGTCAAAAGAATTTGGCCTACTAGGCATGAACGGTGTAGATCTCCATGGAATAAAACTGGTGGTCCATGAGGGATTATCTTTCTTGTGGGTAATTCCAATCCATCCAGTAAAGGAGAACTATGGATGGGGTGGCATTTTGACTTGGACCAAGTACACGTTTTAAGACCTTGTCTTGTAGATATTTAATGGATCTATAAGAACCCAAGTACCCCACCTCTTAGAACATTGAAAACATAAAGTAATTGTGTTCTTGGACATTAAAATATGCATTTTTTCTTTCTTTCTTTGCATTTTTTCTTTCTTTCTTTGATTTTCTTTCTTCTTCTTCTTTTTTTTTTTTCTTTTTTTTTTTGTTTTTATGAGAGCTAAGATTGCGAGTCTATGATTGAAATCAAGGTTGGGTAGTAAGACAGGTGAACAAATACTTGTGCCACACTCCTGAAAAACTAATGGAGAATTTTCAAAGGGTCATAAGGGTATGTGTAGGTTGCAACTTAGATGCTCGAGATTACAATGGCTATTTGTTTAAAGAAGCGGGAACCATACTGTCTAAGAAAAACACATTGCTTTGTGACGTAATATAATGTGTAATGGGTTGAAAAATCAAAGCAAGATGTCAAGATAACTAATTGCCTTGACAAACACATTGCCTTGAAAAATCCAAGCAAGATGAACCTCTAAACTTTGTTGAATGATGCGGGTTTTGGTGTCAAAAATTTTTATGATGCCATTAAAAAATCTATTTCCACTCCTAATTATGAAATTTAAAGGTCCAAAAATAATGCAAATAAATACATAAATAAACATTTGAAAATCTTAAAATTAGATGGTGCAAATATCATATTGTAATATGCACTATTTTTAACACTTGAAATCCTTTGATTTCTCATAACCATATATCTCGATGTCAAGATAACTAATTGCAGGGTTTTTAACAATTGCAAAGACCTTGTTCGATAGGTTTTTGAGGTGCCCCTTGCTACTACAGTATAAGGTTGACAGTTATACAAACTTTTCCATATTTAGAACAATTAATCGCGTCATACTTCATGGTGGTGGACTTGTTTTTCAGGAAACAAGATAGAAAATAGAGGAGAGTTTTAAATGGCAGTGCAATCACTTGTCCGACTCGGGATTCGACCCAGGTAAAGGATCAAGAGGCCGGCATTTCCGAGCTACGGGCTAGGAAGCCTTGAAACCACCCAA